GAGACCACGGCGGCGGGAGCCTGGGGTGGGCGTCTTCAGCAGGTCTTGGAAGAGGTTGTTCTTTTGCGGTGTGGTCTTTGGCATAACGGAATCCTCGAAAAGGTCGGCAAAGTCATCGTCAGCTCGAGTTTTCTCCAACGGCGGTGGCGGACAATTTTCTTTATCTGCATTCTCTTCTTCACTTATTGCAGGACCTGCTAGAGGCTGTTCAAACCAGTGGGTTCGGGGCTGTTCACAGGGAACACAGCCATCATGCCCAATTCCAGCATCTTCCACACCCCCCCTAAACCCATGCTAACTACCAAATCCCCCCGTTAAATCTCGCAGAAAAAAAAACGCTTCTCGGGAAAGACTTACAAATACAGTGGCGGACCCTGCACTTCCCGCGTTCCCGGGGTGTTCCGCCATCGGCCTTGGGGGCTGACTTCCCGAGCTTCCTAGGACTTCTAGGACTTCTACGGCTTCTAGGACTTGTACGGCTTCTAGGACTTGTACGGCTTCTAGGACTTGTACGGCTTCTAGGACTTGTACGGCTTCTAGGACTTGTACGGCTTCTAGGACTTGTACGGCTTCTAGGACTTGTACGGCTTCTAGGACTTGTACGGCTTCTAGGACTTCTACGGCTTCTAGGGCGTGTACAAGGGTTTCTTTTTGCCAGCTCAACATACTGTAGCATTCTCTTGGTAGTTGTGTGTATGGGTTATTTCCATCATTGCCATGATGGGCAGCGAACACGCCTCCATGTCCGTGTTCGTTTCGAGTTCTCTCTCTAGCACAGGAATATCTACTGTTACAACCTCAACTCTCACTCCCCATAACCTCCCTAATCGCCTCTGCGCTCTTCTCCATCGCCGCCTTCTCCTCCTCACTAACCTCCATCTCCAGCACGCCCACAACCCCCTTCCTCCCCAGCACAACCGGCACACTCAGACAACACCCCAATTCCTGCTTGAACACACTAACCGCCCGAATCACCTTCTCATCACACAACACGCTCTTGCACAGACTGGCCGTGACGCCGCCAATCCCATAGTTGGTGGAGCCTTTGCTGTCAATGATCCGACTTGCTTTGTTCTTCACCCTGCTTGCCAGGGCCTCTTTGTCCAGTGTGCTGGAGCCGGGCATGAGTGCAGACGACAGGGGCACGCCGGATAGACTCGCCAGACTCCAAGGTATGAATTGCGACTCGCCGTGCTCACCAAGCACGTATGCCGTGATGCTACTCGCCGCCACACCCGTCTCCCTTGCCACTTCGCCGCGCAGCCGTGCGGAATCGAGAAAGGTGCCGGACCCAAACACCTGCGCGTGCGGGAGTGACGAGTACTGCTGCCCGTACAACGTCAGAATATCCACGGGATTGGCGACGATGAGCAAAATGGCATCTTGGCGAAAGGGTGCCATGTCGTTGATGGCAGACTGCAGAATCTTCTTGTTCTTGCCAATCAGGTCGGTGCGGGATTCGCCCTTTTTTTGGGCCGCGCCCGCCGTCATGACGATGATGTCGCATTGGCCGGCTTCCTTGTGCGTGCCCGCGCGTATGCGCACCGTGGTGTTGCCGTGGAAGGTGGCATCACTGAGGTCCTGGACCTGGGCGTCGCGGAGCTCTTCTTTTGGGTCGACGAGTACGATTTCGCCGGCCGAGGGGTTCATGATGAGCGAGTAGGCTATGGTTGCGCCGACAGTGCCGGCGCCGATGATGGCGACTGTCGACGTCTGTTTGGACATGGTGAGAAAACCTGCCGGTGGTGGGGGAGATTTGGATTTCGGAGACAGGAAGGGGGAACACTCGAAAAGAGGACGAGTGAAAGACAAGGGCGTTGGAGTGCAATGAGTGCTCGAATGCCCTGGAACCTATATCCGAAACATGATGCAGCTCTCTTCGAAACAGGCGCCAAAAGAATACACGACGTCATCATGATGGATGCCGCTAATGCAAGTAATGAACTGCCGCACTATGCAGGTACACCCGCGCTCCCATGTAAACGCCGATCCCATGCTGATTGTACTCAATCACACAAACTGCCTCATGTCGTTGGCAGTCTTCCATGTCAGCCGTGTCGACGGTCCCCGATTAGGCCTGGGTTGTTTTACCGTGGTCTGGCCGTCTTAGTGATCACTCTTTGGCAAGTAGTATGTAAGCCAAAACAGGCAAATGCAATGCACGCTCAAATCCATTCGCAACACTATACCTTTGCAGCAGCAGCAGCAGCACTGGCAACAGCCACCTTCTTCCTCGGCTGTGTGGCCAGCCCTTTCATCAGCAGCAGCGGTATGACATCTGTGGATTTGTTGCGCATCAGAACCTTTCTGCACACGGGACACTGAGAGCGCTTCGTTTCCCCGGGACCGGCACGGTTTTCGCCTGCGATGAGGGCTTCCATGAGACATGTGTGGCAGAAGAGATGGCCTGGCCATTGTCAGTATACAGTGTAGCGAGAGCGGAGAGGCAGGTATACCACATGCGGTGGCAGAGAGATCCGTCGGACTGTCCATGCAGATGACACAGGTGAAGGTGTTGAACGTCGACTTCGTCTCTTCTGGCTTGGCCTGGGCTTTGACGGCATCGAGGCGCTGCTTTTGCAGGACTTGGGCTACTGGTATGGAGTCGTCGGTCAAATCCACCTCTTCTATCTCTTGTCCCTCTGCAGCCTCTCCAACACGTCCCCCATTTCGTCTTGCCCGCTTCGCAGAGGGGCCTGGCGATGACGATCCGCGCTTTCTTCGCCGGGGCGGCGAGTCGGGCGTGGCTGTGAGGTCGACGTATCCGTTGGACAGGCGGCCAGATTGCTGTGCATCCTGTCCGTTCGCGCGCGTGTTGGGTGGCATGTTTCGGACAGCTCGAACACGACTTGGTGCTGGTGGGGAGGGCCGATAGACAAAGGGCGAATATCGGCCGTGGTCAAGGCCTGCTGGGTTGAGGATGCTCTCGAGGAAGTTGGACGTGCTCGACGGCGGTGGCGGTGGCGGCGGCGTGGGTGCGTGGTAGTCGTCAATGCGCGCCTCGTTATAAAAGGGACAAGGCGAGCCGGGCTGATCGGGCCGGTAAGCAGGCAGTAGGTTGTCGAGGAAGTTGGCGTCGTGACCTGTCAGCGGTGACTGCGAGCTGCTGTCGTGGGGGGCAACGGTGAAGTAGAGGGGGTCGCTGGGGTGCGGAGGGGCAGCTGTGTTGGTGTGCTCAATGCCGTCGAGGTGGTCGAGGTGGTCGAGGTGATGGGGTTGGGGGGGCTGGTGAGTGAGGTGTGACGGCATGGTGGCAGCAGAAGGGGAAAAAGAGACAGCCGTCGTCGTTGGTATGCTTTGTATGAAGTCGGGTAGTTACGGTACTTACCCACCAGCACTACCTCTCGCACGTGATATGGTCCTGGGATAGCTGCGTGTGTAGGTACTGTGTAGTCTTGGGTAGTGTGAACGGGGCCGGGGGCCTCGAATTGCTGTTCACAGTGTAATAACAGTACATACTATAGTACACACACACACACACACACACACTCCTCCTTTCCCCCCGGCGATGGCACTGCCACCATGCAATGCCGTGTCATGGATGCGTTCGTGGCGTAACCATAGGGCTGAACTGCCCCATGTGGCTGACGGGGCGCCAAGCCTTGCAAGTCCAAAAACTAGTCAATCATGACGAACCAAGTCTGCTCTGTCTCTATTCATCGTCATCTGGGCGGAGAGAGAGAGAGACTATTCACTGCCCAAGCGACATAAGACGGAATGCAGTAGTGAAAAGACTTTTTCTTCTTCTACTTTCCTCTTTTCACCTTCGACGCGATTATGCGCCGCACCCCATGTCGAACGTTTGCCGCCAATGTCTCCTCCCATCGATCCAAACTGGTAGCCCCGCCGCTCCCTTTCGCCGGCGCATCGCGATCATGTTTTGCCACAGCCCACGCAGCGACCGAACGAGGCAGTGAGGCCAAAGTGACCAGTCTCAATGGTATGCGACGACACCAAGTTCCATGACGGTCTTCGGCATATTCTGATCATCTCACAGTCCCCTCAAAGGCGCGCTTCAACCCCATTGGTGTACAACAACTCTCCAGCAAAATTCACTCCCAGGTCTTCCCTGGTGTCAGCACCACTGCTCCGCCAGAGCTCATCTCACTCTCAAAAGACCATCTCACTCGACATGAATTGCTGGGCAAGAACACCGACTCGACCCCGCCCGTGGGCTTTGACCTGCCCGACCTCCAGGGCACCACGCTCGACGAGCATTTCTACAAGCTGGGAATGGATGCGGCCGAACCATATCTGAGTATGGCGAAGAAATGGGCGTGGGCGAATCCCCCACCAAAACCACGCAAGTGGGTCACAAGGAGCGGCTGGACCAAATACAACGCCGACGGAACGACAGAGGCCGTAGAAGTGCCAGACGAGACTATGCTGACCTTTGACACCGAGGTCATGTGGAAGCAGACTTCGTTTGCGTGCATGGCTTGCGCAGTGAGCCCTACGGCCTGGTACGTCTGGCTATCGCCATGGCTGCTGGGCGAGTCCAAGTCGGATCGCCACCTCATTCCTTTGGGAGACATTTCGACGCCTCGGATCATTGTGGGACACAACATTGGGTACGATAGAGCTCGGATAGCAGAGGAATACAACATCCAACAATCCAAAAACGCCTTCATCGACACCATGTCACTCCACGTTGCATCAAATGGCATGTGCTCGCGCCAAAGACCGTCTTGGATGCAGCATAAGAAGAGTCAGGAAATGAAAGACAAAATTGCGACGGCCGTAGAGAATTCGGAACTATTGCCCATTCCTAACCAGGGGCCTGTACTTGACGATGAGGAAGAGTTGTGGATTAGCAGGAGCGCCGTCAACTCGTTGCGCGAAGTCGCAAAGTTTCATTGCAACATCACAATGGACAAGGCACAGAGAGAGTACTTTGGTGAATTGGATCGAGCGGGGATACGGGAGAAGCTCGACGAACTGCTAGACTACTGTGCCGGCGATGTCGAAACCACACATCGGGTTTATCAAAAGGTCTTTCCCATCTTCATGGAGACTTGTCCCCACCCAGTCAGCTTTGCTGCCCTCCGCTTCCTCGCCGCCGAGATATTACCAGTCAATGAGACATGGGATGCCTACGTGAAGAATGCCGAAGCGACCTATCGCAAACTTGATGATGCCGTCAAAGAACGGCTTGTTGCACTCACCGACAAGGCCCTGGAGGTCAAGGAACAACCCGAAGTATACAACAACGATCCATGGTTGAGCCAGCTGAACTGGTCAGGCCAGGAAATTAAAATGGCCAAAGGCAAGAAGAAGGGAGACCCACCTCGACCAGCAGCACGGCAGAAAAAGCCGGGTATGCCCAAGTGGTACAAGGACTTGTTTACGAGCAACACTGCGCCGTTGAATTTGACGGTGCGCACACGCGTAGCGCCCATCTTGTTGAGGCTGGCATGGGATGGATACCCTCTCGTCTGGTCTGACGTGCACGGTTGGACCTATCAAGTTCCCATGGACGAGGTCTTTGCGTACAATAAAAACGGGCTACAAGAGTTGGACATGTCAGAAGAGGAAAACCTCAAGCTGCGCGACGACACAGCACATCGTTACTACAAGATACCTCACAAGGACGGGCCCCAAGCACGCTGCGCTAACCCCCTTGCCAAGGCCTATCTGGCCTATTTTGAAAAGGGCAGGCTAACTTCAGAGTATGCCTACGCCAAGGAAGCTCTCGAAATGAATGCTTCGTGCTCCTACTGGATCAGTGCGCGTGACCGAATCACGTCGCAAATGGTCGTCTACAACGCCGAAGTACCCAAGGCTCCCAAACTCGCTTCTGCATCGGGCAAAGGACGAGGAAAGAAGGTTGGCTTCATTCTGCCTCAGATCATACCCATGGGCACCATCACGCGGCGCTCTGTTGAGAACACTTGGCTCACCGCTAGCAATGCAAAGAAAAACCGCGTTGGTTCGGAACTGAAGTCCATGGTGCGCGCACCAGAGGGCTACTGCTTCGTCGGTGCCGATGTCGACTCTCAGGAACTTTGGATTGCGAGTCTCATTGGCGATGCAACCTTCAAATTACACGGGGGCAACGCAGTAGGCTTCATGACCCTCGAGGGCACCAAAGCCGCAGGCACAGATTTGCATTCGCGAACAGCCGGTATCTTGGGCATAAGTCGTAACGCCGCCAAAGTCTTCAACTATGGCCGCATTTATGGTGCAGGCCTCAAGTTCGCAGCCACGCTGTTACGACAATTCAATCCTACACTGACCGATGAGCAAACCCTCAAAACAGCAAACGATTTGTATCAGAATACCAAGGGTAAGAAGACAGTAAGGAAACAACTACACGAACGACCCTTCTGGCGTGGCGGCACCGAATCCTTCGTCTTCAACAAACTCGAAGACTTCGCTGAGCAAGAACGACCACGAACCCCCGTCCTCGGCGCCGCCATCACAGAAGCCCTCCAGCGCCGCTACCTGACCAGGGGCGGTTTCATGACATCCCGCATCAATTGGGCTATCCAATCTAGCGGCGTCGATTACCTGCACCTCCTCATCGTGTCCATGGATTTCCTCACCCGGCGGTACAACCTCGATGCCCGCCTCGCCATTACCGTACACGATGAAATTCGGTACTTGGTCGCTGATAAGGACAAGTACCGTGCTGCCATGGCCCTGCAAGTCGCCAACCTCTGGACACGCGCAATGTTCAGCCAACAAATGGGCATCAACGAACTCCCTCAATCGTGCGCCTACTTCAGCGCTGTAGACATTGACAAAGTGCTCCGCAAAGAGGTAGACATGGATTGCATTACCCCAAGTCACCACACGCCCATTCCGCACGGCGAATCCCTCGACATTCTCTCCCTGCTTGAAAAAGGCAGCGAAGCCCGTCTCGACCCGAGCCTTACGCCCATGTCCCCACCCACGCCCGAAAAATACGCGCACCTATATAAACCCCGTATCCCGATCATGAGAACCCTAGAAGGCAGCAATACCACTTCCCCCACCGCACTCGCCTATCTCAAAGCCCAAATTTCGTCTGACGACAACGAGTTACGCGACATTTGTAAGCCGCTACGTGCAACGCCGGTGCGCAAGGGGAAAACGAATGAAGGGCAGGACAAGGATGTAGCAGCCGAGCAAGAAGACATCGAGAAGAGCGTTAGGCATTACGAACAAATGGCCAGGCTTCTGCCGACTGATACGCGAACATGGACAGAATATCATGAAAAGATGGGCAACGTGGGCGGTCGTGGTGTGGGTGTCAGTGGTGCCAATGTAGTGAGACGGAATGTAGGTAAGAATTTGGGCGTTTGGGGCAATTATCCAGTGCATGCGAGGAGTACAGGGCAAAAAGCCGTTAGGGTATGATGTTAGGGGGGTTTTTTTTTTGACGCGGTCTCAGGACTTTTGTATGATATGAACAGCTTTTAACGCATTTTGGGGGAGTAAACTTTGTTCGACTCAAACTTGGGGGTTTCTCTTGGTCTTCTTCACATTAGTATCTACTTTGGTATCTATTTTAGCTACATGTAATCTATGTTAGGACAGTCAACGCAGGCAGGCAAGCAAATGGTTGCTTGTGATAACTCACAGACGGCATTTGGAGGGAGATGTGATACTTTGTTCCTCTCGGCAGTCGACGTCTCGACTTTGGCTTACACTAAGCATGCGTAGCGTGTAGTCAAGCCAATCAGCGATGCCATTTTCTGCGTATGCATCTGCGGGGTTTATCGCGGCTCGGTCCCAGCGATGCCTTTGCCTCTCTCCACATTACCAAAACTAATCAGCCTTCCACGCGCCGACACATTCTCGCTTCAATGACATCTATGATTCTTCGGCATGTCCAGTCCTAATACTGAGACCCGGGAGGTCAAGCGACCACGTCAAGCCTGCCTGAATTGCCGGTAAGTCTCGAGGAGCTGACATGGCCCGTGCGTCCGCCTGTACCGGGTATCCACCCAGCATTATCAACTGGCATGAAGGATCCCAACCAGCTGATGACATGCGCATAGGCGCAAGAAGGTCAAATGTCATGGCGAGCGGCCAACTTGTAGCTTTTGTGCTCGGCTGCTTCAAGAGTGCATCTACCCAAGTCCGCGGTGGGCCATGAGTTCAGTGGACAAGCCAAATTCAAAGCGCGCTGCTACGGAAATATATTCAAATGTACCTAATCCATGTCAATGCCGTATGAAATCAAGCCTCTAACAGCCTCATAGCATGGCCTGGACTCACAAGTATCGCCTACGGAAACGTGGTCGAACCCATTTCATCACAATCTGAATAGGTACTTTCTTTGGAACTTCGATGGCCGGCTATTGGTTCTGACAAGCATACTTCCTTCAGCTCCCAGGACTATACTGGAGACCAAGGTCAAGCCAATCTATCATCTTCAGCAAATTCACATTTCTCCACTATGGGCTACGGCAATCTTCCTTATTTTACCGCAAATGGATCCTTAGCTTCAGCCCAGTATCAGTCAATCTCGACTACGTAAGTGAACCCCATTACTCCCTCAAGGCACTGATCTCACCTTCATTGGCATAGGGCTGATCCGACGATTCTACCTCCTCCACACGTTGTAACTTCCACGATCAATCTTTATTTCGAGTTATGTCATGATCAACCATATTGTTTTTTTCATGAGCAGACGTTTCGACACCAGTTAACGAGCAACCAATTACCACACTACCTGATCTTCGCCGTACTAGCTATTTCCTTGCGTTTTTCGCCTGATCCCTTCTATAGCAGTAATCCTCACATGGCCGCCAAGTATGCTTCAAACGCGTGGAAAGAGGTTGAACGGCAATGTTTTGATGATGAAGATGGCATGGATTACCGATTAGTTCAGGCTGCAACTTTGCTAGCACTCTGGGACTTTTTAGGTATGCACCATCTTGTTCTCCCAAGCCGGCCGGTGCGCAGCTTACCGAATACTAGCATGCAAGCATGAGACTGCCTGGATCAAGCTCGGGGTAGCTGTGAGTATGGCTCAAGCCCTACATATGACAAAAGAACCCGACAACACATTATGCTTCTCAGCACAAGAGGAACGTCGCCGTACCCTATGGTCAATCTACTTATTTGACAAGATGGCAACATGCGGCAGAGACCGACCGTCCCTGTTCCGAGATCAGACCATCGATCTCCAGTTGCCTTGTTCGGATACCTCTTTCTGGATGTCGACACCCGAAAAGATTGTTACGTTGGAAGGCTTCAACAGCTTGGAGGATTCACAAATTCGAAATCTCGCTCCATCAGCCCTGACTATTGTCCTGGCTTCCATTTTGAGTCAGACATCAAATTATGCGTTCAAACACAACAAATCGAGTAATCAAAAGCCGCCTTGGGATCACACTTCTGAGTATCAAGTCATATGCTCACAGTTGACGCGCTTTGAGACGCTCTTTGACTCTTACGGGGATATACAGGAGCAAATCCTGGATCAAGCAAAAGCTTTCGATGGATGTGGTTTGCAAATCACCGAATCACTGATATTTGCTTATGTCCTCTATAACCTCTGTCATTGTTTGTTGCAGCATCCGTTTCTGCTTCGACGTCGACTTGAAGAGTGCTCCTTGACGATACCCACTCGGTTTTTCGCGCGGGCTATCGAGAGCGGTTCCAACCACGCCCAGGAAATCAGCCGCACCTTGACCAACGCAGCGAGGGCCAAGTACAGAGTTTCCGCCACAATATTGGGCTACTTCTCGCTTGTTGCAGCCTCAATCAATGGCCTATTTCAGCACTCGGCCGACGAGACGACCCGTATGAGGTCGGCGGAGGCTCTTGCAGGAAACTTGGCCCATATAGAAGCCAAGGCAAAACACTGGAAAACCTCGGCTCGTATGGTATGTCATTTTCCTCCTCACCAACAAAAAACAGCGCATTGTTATTAACAGATACACCAAGGTCGCCACCCTCACGCACTTCTCCCGCGAATCCGCCCGCTACTCTCCTTTGATCGACACCTCCTTCCAGACAGTCCCACTGACCGCAGCCGACATCGAACTCCTCTACTCCCTCTGCGACTATGGCACCATCTCCTCGAGCCGAACGAAGGACATTGCTCTCTTGAACACTAATGAAACCACACCCACTCCCCTCAATCTAGACCCCATGCTAAACAACGCCGCTTCTGCAGACACCTACAGCAACTTTGAGAACCTCGAAGACTTTAGCGGTCTCATCGAGGGCATCATACCGCAGTTTTTCGACCATACGAATGCTCGCACCGTCTTGGATGATTTCTCGTCTGCGCTTGGCCAGTTTGGTGGCGCGGACTGTTCGGCCTCGGGTCAGGGATGGGATTTTCACAGTTGACGGGGTGTTTTTCTTTGGGGGTATTTCGACACGTCGGAAGCTTGTGTGATGTATAATATACATCACACCCCTCGTTTCCAGGCGCTTGTTCATTTCTATTTTTTTTTCCTACTCTTTGAAGATATCTTACGCGGAGATATACATATACCCACTTATCTTACCGCATCCGATAGGCTGGGACTCACTTCACATTTCACCCCGCTTTTTCTCCAGAATTACGCCTGCTGAGATAAGTTTTGTTTGATGTTGCAAGGCAATATACCCTCGTTTACTCGCATACTACTGCCCGTGATATTCAAACGTTCACCTGTGAATTACTTTGGCATCTGAGGCCTTGGTCTACCCGCGGTATCTGGATACCGCTGGTGTTTTTGGTAGAGGGGTTGGTGGAGTTGCTGGGTTGTGTTGGGGTTTGGTGTGTGAGCGGAGAGTATGGATGGGAATGGGAATGGGGGGGGGGGGGGTTTGGGGGTACTATGCAAAGGAAAATTGCTTAACAATACATTTATCAGAACGTGAAATCCAGGACCTTGCTGTAATTATCTTGGATACGAGACCTGGGGAGGGGGGGGCCAAGTGTCGATTGTAGGGTTGATGGGACCCGCACATAACATGGACAATCACGAACTCACGTGCTTCCGTGTGTGTCTTGACGTCACTATCCTTGCTTCAACTCAACGCTGGTCGCGCGGCAAGTATTTTTCAATGTTGCAACTACAAGATCTTGTCATGTCCCAGTTCCCGTTACGACAATTCGGCCAGGTATTGCGCAATGCTACATGGAAGGTTCACTCTCGCCGGACATCTGACTTGCCTCACACTTCTACAACCAAAGTGCCTCACACCTCCTCCTCCTCCTCCCCACCCACCGCAAACATGACATCCACACCAACCCCCTACCCGACCAAAGCCTACACCCCCCGCTACCCAAAATGGCCCTACTCCCCCTCCGACTTCCAACGCACCGACCCAACCCCCGACGCCCTCTTCTACCACCACCCCCGCCTCGTCACCCACATCGACGACGCCGCCATCACCCGGCTAACAGCCTACTACGCCGCCGCGCTGCCCCAAACCGGCACCCTGCTCGACCTCTGCACAAGCTGGAAATCCTTCTACCCGCCCTCCCTCCACACCGCCATCCACTCCCACCACCTCACCGTCTACGGCCTCGGTCTCAACGCCCTCGAAATGCAACAGAACCCCGTGTTCCGCGACCAGGCTCACTGGCGCGTCTTTGACTTGAATGCCCCGCCGTATCAGGTCCGCGCTGCGTGGCCGCAGGTGCAATGTGCGTTTGATGCGGTGACGTGTGTGGTTAGTATAGATTATTTGGTCGAGCCGCTGGAGGTGTGTAGGGGCTTGTTGGATGTGACGGCCGAGGGTGGGCGGGTGCATTTTGTGCTTAGTAATCGGTGTTTTGCAACTAAAGTGGTGCGTAAGTGGATGATGTTGGATGAGCAGGCGAGGCTCGAGCTTGTTGGAGGTGAGTTTTGCAGACTTTATATTGGGGGTTTTTTTTTGCCTGGGTGACTTAACGGTGATGCTTTTTTCGGGGAGTGAAGACTTGTTCGCTAACTTTGCGTGAAACTTTCAAAAGATTACTTGCATTTTTCTGGCTGGCAGCATGTCGAAATCGTTGACTTGTGTGCGCGCGACGAGGCTGGGAAGAGGATCGCGGATGACACAGGGAGGGTGGTGGTTCGAGATGCAGGATTGCCGGATCATTTGGATCCGTTATGGGTAGTAAGAGCGAGGAAAGGGGATGTGGAATGAATCCTGTTTGACATTGAAAGAACGGGGCTGGATCTCCAATACAAATCCCAGGTTGCAATCATACTTGGCCTGATACCTGCAATTCGTAGCATCAGCGTATGTCACCTTACTTCCACCCTTACAGTATGCCACCGCCATCCCCGCCAACTCCCCTACCTTATCTACTCACCCCAACCTTCCACCAACCTTCCCCATTCCCCATCATGCATACATCCATAGCCTACACTCAGTAGCCCACAAATGCAGTCGTCACGCGACCGCACACGGGGTCTGCGTGCATGTGGCATGTATGTGCCTGTATACTATGCTGTACCATACCATCCTCTTCTGCAATGTATGTGGGGAGCGTAATGATTGGCGGTAAATATTGGGGAAATGGCAAAGCGAAGAACGACGGGAAAGGTAACGAGAAGCGGGGAATTGGGGTAAGTAGATTGCAAGAACATGGGCATGGGATTAGTGGTGCGAGGTTGGGGGGTAGGTAGAAGAGGGGGATTGGGGGATGAGTGGGGAGTGTGAGAGGTATGTAATTGAGGGGGTGTGGCGTGGCGATGTAGTGGGTGGATTATGAGTATGAGTATGGTATGTGGGGATGAGAAGAGTTTGGGGGTACTTTTGTTTTGCTTACTTGCTTACTTTTCATGATTAAGGCTATGCGGACAAGTATTTCACGGTAGTGAGAAGGCATCGGGAAACAGCCAGAGAGCATGAGACGATGGGTTCGTGATGCTATCCATCATTGCACCATCTTGTGTTCGCCAGGAGTTTGTATACACAAGTACTTTTTCGCAGTGATAGTTGTATGTGAGGAACTGCATTTTGCTTTGCGCAAACATGATGATTTGTGTAACCTGACGCCAAATCCCCAATCTACCGACTATATGCTTATAAACATGATGACTAACGAAATTACGACCGTGAGATACTTTAATCAGAAGAAAGTCAAAACACGCCGAGCCCCATGTCGCAATCGTCCACCCCAGCGGAGTATTACTCACGCGCTAAAAAAAATGCGCCATAATAATGCAGTGTACCTTCATCGCTTTGCCAAATCCCAGTGTTCACTTACGTGTGCAAAATTTAAAAAAAGTCCCCTCACGTTTGCCTCTCTTTAGGAACTAATCAGCCCTTTAGAAGTCCCACAACGTGCCAAAGGCATGCAAACCAGCGACCTGACAGCCTTGCATCATCTCATCGTTGCCCTGCTTATTACTCGTGATGAAGATGACTTCGGCACCAAACCGGGTCCACGTATCTTTGAGCAACTCCATGGTATCCGGGCGACCCCCGCGTTTCTTCGAGTCCCAGAGGATCATGCGTTCCGGCTCGATATTGTTGTGGATGAGGCCGGAGATGGTAGGGCCAAAGGTGCGTTCCTGGTCGGACCCGATCCAGATGAGGAACCAGTCTTTGCTTTGGATGCAGGTCGAGAGGGCGGCGCCGATACCAGTTCCGGTGCAGATACGGATGCCGCGCTTATACATTGCAGAGGCGTGACCAACGGCCGCTGTGAGGGTGTTAGTGTGTGTGGGATAGAATAAGGTAAGATTAACGCACCGAACTTGAGTTCTCTGGTCCAGAGTGTCTTAGGAGGGTTGTCGACGAGGCTCTTTGTGAAATCGCCCTGGACACCGCAGATCATGTAGTGTGTGCCTGATTTGCGCCCTTCGCTGATGATGCCAAAGGCGTGGTATTCCATGACGGCTGTGCGACTGACGCGTCCTATCAAGCCTTGTTGCATGCCGCGGTTGAATTTGAGGACTGCCACTTTGGGTGAGGGGATTTCAACTTCGACTGGAACTTCACGGAGAGTGGCCCATGGAAGGAGCACGCTATATGCTATTAGTCCAGAGCTATTGGTTGAAGGTGGGGTACCTACAAGACTGTAATAAACACGGCGAACCATAGTTCTTGGGCACTGAGCAGTGAGTTGGCACTGTTGTCCCACTGGCCGGTCTTGATGTCATATTGATTGCCCAGGATGACGAATACCCAAGTCATCTGCTGAATTTTAGCGAAGCTCGCATGTCTTTAGTGTGAGTACATACTGCGACACCCAACCACCCGATGAAACGGTGGTACCTCTCGAACATGTTGTGGTGTGTGCTGAGCAGATATTAGTATCTGATTGAAAAAAATTGAGTGAGGGTACTGACTTGCGAATATACGGCAGCGCGCTGATGATTGAAATAATGATGAAGACATTAGTGATGATTCCGGTAGCGATGACAGAAGGATGCTGAATCGCGTGATAGCGGAGGATGTCAACGACTTTGTAAAGCAGCCATCTGCACATATGTCAGTGTGAACTCTGCGACCTTGGCTAGTCTACTTACGCAGCCGCAGATGAGGCACAACCCGAATGGATACCGCCAGCATGCTGTAGAGCGGACGTGACTGCCAATTTCATCCAAATCGGCGCCCACTGTCAACTTGTCAGTTACTCTCGTTCCAACATAGGTCAGAGGCCCACTTACACTGCGAAGGCCGTATATGGAGACCAAGTACAAAAACCGGAACCAAAGCTCATTCCGCATCATGATGGCCATGAGCAAGTTACCGAGTACCAAGGCACCCAGATGACTTGTTGCATAGGAAAAGTGACCTGTCGCAGCCATGACGATTCCAATCAAGTTCAATGAGACGACGAATGTGAAGAACTTCCGGTAGGTGTTGAACCAAAGGCAAGCAAGGACCCATCTGCTAACCTTGGGTGGCACAGGCTTTGCCTTGGGGACGACTGTCTTCAAATCTGCGGCAACGCTTGGTCTCCGCCCTTTGGGAAATTCCAACGACAGTTCTGGTTGGCTGGGGTTCGGTGTGATGCCCTCATGAACGGGCGTAAGGGGTAATAATGTAGATCTGGAGTCATGAATGGATCCATGCTTCTCATGTGATAGGTATACGGATGGTTGCGAAGGTACCATGGTCAAATTTGTCGTGCTGTCGCATAAACCCTTCTCCGCATCATCGAGGGTGTGGACACTACCACTGGCAGAGTGGTTTGGCTGAGGAAGGCTCATGCTGATAGCTCGTCGCTCTACTTGGAAATGTGTGTGCTCGGAGGGAGGAACCAGAATTGGTGATGTGGAGACGATGTGACTGGAAAAGCAGACCGCAGGGGGGTGATTTGAGTTGCTCAAGTACCTACACTTTGCCGGGAGAGGTGAGTCTTAATCAATCTTAAGAGCCAAGCCCCACCACTTGACAGGCTGTCTACGAAGGTACGTCAATCGATCGATATTTCCACATTCTGCGCCGCTGATATGCCGAGAGTACCTGGTAGTGAATCATCTGTGCAGTTGAAAGACGTTGCGCTATCACGAGGGCAACTGCCGTCCGGCTGAACCCTGTATCTGGGATGGTAAGACTCGGTCCGTCAAAGTGCATAATATGGGATGCGATAGTGATACCACGAAGTCACTTGCTCACAGACTCACAGTGGTGTCATTGATGATGCTACTGTACGTCCAGCAGAGGCCCCACTACCTACCTAGTCACAGGTAGCTGACTCGATCGACACGTTCCAGTCGATCAAACCAAAGAACAAGTTTATGCTCTGTGCGCATAGTTTGTATTGGTGTTTGATATGGTAACACGACAGCGCGGAGCCGTTCTCAGGGTTCACGTACCGACAGCATGTGGCCCTGGAGATTTCGGAGGATAGACACACGTCAGAATTCATTGCAGCTGGAATTGACGGATCCTCGTCACACATATCTTTAGCCCATATTCATGTACTGGGGTCTGGGTTGGCCGATGCGGCTATCACGTCCATGCTAGCTTCATACAGGAATATTGCGGCTCAAGCCCATCGGTCCGAAGTCCGCGAGCTGGTTTCGGCCTTGTACGCTGTGGGTGTCAATATTTTTGTGTGTTGAGTTTCTGACAGTCGCCAACTTACCGGTACACGTAGTAATGCCTAAACACACCAAGTGCTGGTGATCATAATTGCACTCTTATCTGACATGATGTCACTGAATATACCATCTATGAGGTTCCATCAGGGCATAGTTCATATAGACGATGAGAGCCGACAATCAATGTAGATGAACGTGGGGTCATTCGTCCCGGGTCAGATCTGGTTTAGCGTATATCCCCTTCACAACGTCCACTCGTCTATCATTGCTTGAATCGCGCACAACGTTATTCCATATCCTGCATTTTCTTGGATTCAAGAGATCCTCGCGCAGATTTCGCATCGCTCGTATCCATGTGGATCTGGGCTCGATAAGAAAAGGGGAACCGAGACGTTCTGATGGGCTGTGCGCGGAATGTACGAGGTCGAAAATAGCCGATTGTGCATACAAGGAACGGTACTATGGTACCGCCTGTTCGAGTGTTGGTGGCTTTGATACGAAGCCTGTCAGCAGCCGTAGTCGAGTGGCTCCACGGCGCTACTGTGGTCTGTAACGTGATCCACCACCGAGCGCCCACCCCCACCGAGCGCCCACTAACACCAAAATCCACCACCCACTAAATAAGGATATTGCGCCACCCACAATAGCTATTATTACAAGATTTCTTAGAGTTGCGATTATTAGATCTATTAGAGTAGATTAAATATTTTAGATTATATAAGCAGCTTTTTAGGGGGTCTAATTAGGCGCCCACGCTATAAAGTTACCTCTACTACTATATCCTCTTCTACTAGCTCCTTATTAACCACCTTAGCTAGTATAATAGTAGGAGGCTTAAGGATTTACCTCTTACCTATTTAGGACGTTTTAATATTATTTTAGAGTTACTTTTCTAGTTGCTTAGTAGTTTTCTACTTATTACGTGTAGTAGCTTTTTAGGTAGCTTTCTTCTCCTACTCCTTCTTAGTAATTACTTAATTTAGGTAATACTCCTCTATAAGTTAAGCTTTAGTAAGCTTCTATTACTTATAAAGCTTAATTACCTTACTTTTTTAGTATTATAGCTTTTATTCTTTAAGGTTCTTTTACTTTTAAAGTTTAAATACTTACTTTACCTTTAATAGTAAAATAAATTAGGCACTACTACTATAATTATTATTAGGGGGTAATAATAGAGGTTTACTACGCTTCCTACGCTTCTTCTTATTAGCTAGGGTAGCCCTTAAGTGTTTATTTTTATAGTTAAGTAGAGTATTTCTTACTAATATAGTATAGATTATCTAGCTAAGCTTCTTTAACTATTTATTATAGATATTAATTATAGTATTATAGAGTAACTACTCTATCTTTCTCTAATTACTTATACTTAATATTAAGGTTATACTATTACTTAAAGAAGACTAGTTACTATTATTTATAGGTGCTTTAAACCTTAAAAGGATAATATTAGGGTTAAGTAGTAAGATACCTATTACTTTAAAAGCTATTAATATTAGCTTTTCCTTAAAGGTATTACTCTATATAGTATTAAATAACTAGTAGAAATCTCTCTTAGTAATACTTATAAGCCCTTAGGAGCTATCTAGAAAACTAGATAGTTAAGCTTTATATAAAGCTATAAAGGGAGCAAATACTATAATATTAAGTAGCTAAAGGGTATAAGTGCTATAAGGGGGATATATTATAAGTAGGATCTTATATTTATTATAGTACTTAATAAACTCTATTATTATATAAGATTTATAGCTATTAAGGATAAGGAGCTAGTATAAAGTATAAGCTTTAGCTTTTATCTTATAATTAAACACCTCCTTAAGCTAGGATACCCCTAGGGTGTAGCTTATCTACCTACTTAGTAATCCTATAAAGAAAGCTTAGTATTATAATAGGTTAAAATCTTATATACTAGGTATCCTACTTAGAGCTCTCAGATTAGGACTAATAAATAAGGGTAGAGGTAAGAGTAGTACTATTAGCGCATATGCAAGCTATAGTAGTAATCTACTCCCTATTACTATCCTAGAGTATAGCTCTAATCTTTCTCTACTTATAGGCGCTCTTATTAAATATATATTTAGTTTTTAATAGTACTCTAATAAGAAAACCCTTCTTATCTATATTATAGATATACTAACTCTTAATATTATATTACTCTATTTTTTAATATAAAAGCTTAAAGTATAAGTTATACTTAAAGGTAGAATTAGCTTTAAAGTAGTTATAATTAAGCCTAGTAGCCTAATAGGAGATAAGATTAATATTATAGTAGTTAATAAAGCGCTATACCTAATTTTTACTTACTAGATTCCTTATTATTTTAGTTATAAAATTTTAAATAATAGTCTATATAGGGGGTAATCCTTGCCTATAAAGCTCTTAAATATACTTTATAAGCTTACTTTCTTATATAGTATTAAGTATTTAACTATTTAGTAGAGTAGTAGTATATACTTACTAAATTTTCTAGTAGCGTCTAGATAAGGTTAACTATAAGTAACTATACTTTTCTACTATTTCTAAGTATATAAAATCTTCTCTAAGAGTTAAGGATTTAATTACTATAAGCGCGTTATTAATAGGTGCTATAGTTGTTAAGAAATTTAGTGTTGAAAATTTGGTGATTTTGGTGTTAGTGGGCGCTCGGTGGGGGTGGGCGCTCGGTGGTGGATCACGTTATTCTTCAAGGGCCGGCCAAAAGCCTCCACTGATCTTCCCAGATCTGCACACGGGCCGCAATTCGGATGCCCCAATTCCGGTAACCACGCGTACCGCTATCCAGGAATAGATGCTTTGCATCCTCATTGTATAGATAGATAGTCAGACCCACGAGCGACCAAGGCCATCAGATGCGGCGATTTCGTCTCATCGAAAATCAGCCAGTGCAGAACAGATGGGCCACGAGGATGGCCAAAGAAACAGCACGATTGAGAGGCATTTCGGCTCGAGCAACGTGCATATTTGGTTCTTCCTGTTGATGTGAAGCGTTGAGATGGCAAAGTAAGGTTGAGACGTCGAATGCTTCAACTGTTGAGATGGCCGCTTTGGTCTGCACCTGTACGGTACGAGTTTAGCGTCTTGGCATCCCTGGATCTCTTTCAAAGGTTGCGGTTCTCTCCCGCAGAGCCTTACAGCAACGCAAAGACGCACCGTCCAGCTAGCAAAAGATTGTTCTAAAAGTGAACACCGCGCCATGTCTGCCCCTAAACGTTTTCCATCGGTCACTGGTAGCTGCGTTTGTGGCACGGTTCGATATCGGCTGCTCACTTCTCCGCTCTACTGTTATGCCTGCCATTGCGCCGATTGCCAGAAGTCTTCGGGCAGCGCATTCGGCCTCCTCCTCAACATCGAGGTATCCAACATCCGTATTATCTCAGAAACCACGCCAGTAGCAATCGTTCGAGAAAAGAAGCCTGGACGCTTCGACCGGCATGTGGAATGTCCAAAATGCAAGGTGGCACTATGGAGCAACAACATTTTCGGCGAAGCTGTAGCCGACCTCTATGTGGGAACTCTGGATTATCCAAGTCTAATGGAACCTGATTTGCACATGTTCGTTGATACCAAACTGGACTGGGTGATTCTACCAGAGGGAACAAAGACAGTACCAAAAGACTATGATCCCAAAGCCTTTTGGCCGAAGAGTAGCCTCAACAGACTCGAACTATGTCTAAAAACAGCTGAAGAGATGAAAGAAAAGAAACAAACTGTAACTGTGGCTGCGACTGCGGCTGCAGCTGCAGCTGTAGACTCTCAAAACGGCAAACCAGCAGCCAACCATCAATCAAGATCAGATATGGAAGCGGAAGAGACAAGCGGTGAAGGCGAAAAGACACCGACAGCCGTAGAATACAGCGAGAAGGAAGTGGACGACGATGAAGCCTTCGAGGAAAAGTTCAAGGAGACTGAAAAGGTCCTCCAAGAACGCCTTGAAAGACTTCGGCTCAAGCTTGAAGAGCAGGAGCTGACGAAGAAAATGCGAGAAACTACCATCGAATAACGGAAAAACGCCTCGTAGCAGGAATCGAAGGTCCTACTGCGCACTAGCTTGCAGCTCCTCTTCATCCTGTTCGAGGTTTCAGCGACACGCACAAGGCAGGCCGGCTCCATCTACCTTGATGCCAACAGCACAATGAGGTCAGCAGCGACAAGCTCCAGTCGAACTTTTGATCTCTTTGACGAATAATATCGTTTCCTGTATAGAAGCAGCTACACCGCAACAGACTGAGGCTGGTCTGCATGGGTTCAATACCCGCCAACATGGTAAAATGAATAGATACTGCTAGATTTCACATGTGTAGTCTCCATGGGGTATGTTGTAGAATTTAGTAACTTGTTGTTAGGTCTTAGTCATGCCTAACGAGTTTCTTCTTCCTGTGGCCAAGCAGTGGAACAATCACTAGACTCTGGCCATCTCAGCTTTTCGGTGAAACCCTGATGGAAAACATTTTCACCCGTCAAAATGGAGGCCTGAGCAGCTTCCTACCTGTAGCAAGCTCTAGTAAGCTTTCCCGATGTGGCGGGATCGGCTGGTGCTAACTCGAAGTATCAACCATCAACTTGCCTAAAAAAGAGCAATCCCTGGTCAAACATGTCAATGCAGAGACAACACGAAGGGCTAACGGCACATCTGGCCACTAGCCTGCTAGTTCCCGTATTGTACCGAATTCGACCGGACCAGTGTTAAATCCTACCTCAGCTCCCACTACGGTACAAAACCGGTTTACAGTAGCCATATTTATCTAAAGTAGACCACAAAGTAGTTTAAGTATAAGAAGTAAACCTAAATAGGGTTTACTATACTATATATTCTATAAAGGTAAACCACTTTTTAGTTTATATATTATTAGTATTATATATATTAACTTTAGTGTCTATTTAAATATAGTTTATATAATATACCTAATTATAGGTTATATAGTAGATAGATATATAGCACCTAGGGGGAAAATTTAGTATAGATAGAGGGCACGTAGTAGGTATAATTTAGTAGGGTTACTATACAGGAACTAGTACTAGTAGATACCTAGGCGGTATAGGCGTGCAGCATACCGCTGCCTAGGTATACTATAATAATAACTAAGAGACTAGGTAGTATACCTAGTATATAAAATTATAATCTAAAATATCCTATAATAATAGGTTAGTAAGTTCTATAAAGCTACCTATTGTAACAACACTCCTATATTATAGTATAGTAGTATTACTAAAGATTATACTCTATATTATAAATATTCTAGGGTAAGTTAGTTACTTACACTATATATATTATAGGTTTTTTTAGTAGTATATTAGTTTAAAGTTAGGTATGTGTATATATTATTATATATACTACATTATATATAGTAGTAAAGGGGTAGTATAATATAGTAAGCTTGTGTAGTATAGGATATATAGTAATATTATATTATATTATTTATATATACTAATATAGTATATATATATTATTTAACTTATATAGTTAGGACCCTCTTATATTATAATTATCTATAAACCTAGATGCTATTATTACTATTACTATTATTTAGCTCTCTTATACTACTACTATCTATATAAGGGGCATCTATAATAGATGCTCTAGTTTATATTAGAGACTACTATAATTTTAGGCCTTGTACTCTAGAAGTATTTCTCTTATTACTATTACCTTTAGCCTTAGCTTTAGTTATATAGTTGCGCCTAGCCTTTATATTCCTAACATGTATATTCTTATAAGTCTATATTAGTAGAGTAGAATCTAAAGTCTCTATTAGAGAGTCTATAATAGTATAAGGTTAGCGTTATTATATATCTAGTAGTATATTATAGTTATCTTCTATAGGCGTGTTTTTATAAGTATCTAGAGTAGAATTATTTAGTTAGGCTAGTATATTATATAAATAGGTTTGCTTTTATAGTCTTATATCTAGCTATACTAGTACTTATTATAATCTAACACTACTAGCTAGGGGCACACTAACTATTAGGTTAGGATACTAACTCCTAAAAACGCTACTATTACTATCCTAGGCACCCTAGTCTTTAAAGCTAGTAATACTACTAGTATATTTAGATTAGGGTAGATATTATCTTTATATATATTTAATAGGATAAGGTAATACTAGCTTACTCCTAGCCTATAATAAGTCTTAGTTTAAATATTAGGGAGCGTTACTATAGAATCCTAACTAGGCTACTATATAGTTATAGTATATACCTAAACTACTATAAATAAAGTTAGAGGTTAGCTATTAGTATCTATATAGACCTTTATATATAATAGACCTCCCTAGGCTAGGGCCTTATAGGATAGTAAATATTTAAGTAATTAGGGTAGCAATATTATTACCTAGTATAGCATAATTATATATAATAGCTCCTTTATAATAGTAAGTTTAGTGTATTTAAAGAGGTAGATAATATACTTGCGTTTTAGTTTAGAGTGTTAGTTCTTATTCCTATATATCTAGGTCTACTATATAAGCTATTTTAATACCTATACTCTATTAAAATATCTAAAAAATAGATACTTAGTAAGGATAGTGTCCTATATATTAGTATACTTAGAGTTAGAAATATAGCTAAATAGTTAGTCTTAGATTATATTAAAGTATATGTCTATAGCCTTATAGATACACTTATTAAGGTTATTAATACCCTTCTTACTAACTATAAATATATAGATCTATAGGGCAAACACTTTAGGTGTATATATTGCTACCTACACTATAATTAGATTATTACTTACTAATTTTAGCTATAGGCAGACACTATGCAGTTCTAGTATTTTGTGTAAATAGGATCTTAAATCCTATATTAACTGCAGAACAGTGTTAGGAACAAAGGCGGCGTTTATAGTAGATAAGGTTGTAAGTAAAGCTAATATATTATAAATATATTATTATAGATAGAAAGGGTATATTATTATATGCAACTCGTGCACTAGTGTTGTTGCTATTACTTATAACATATTATCTTTAGCTATATCTTTGTGCTAATATGCTTCTATAATATAGTTATTAAACAATAAGTTATTGTACTATAGTTATGCTATATTAGTGTAATAGAAGTGTAAAGAGGGTGTGCTAACGTGTTGCATTATATATGTGTGCAAGGGGTTAAGAATTAATTTAGAGTACACTAGATTATTATTATATAATTTATATATATTACTATAATTATATTATTATTACTTATTATAACTAACGCTAACAGGTTATATTAGCTTACGTAGATTTATACTATATCCTTTTATTTACCTACTCCTCTATATACTAGAGTATAATAGTTGTATTAATAGAGTAAGATATAAATATCTAGGAATACACTCTTACTAACCTATATTAGCTATATATAGTTTATGTTTACTAAAACATAGTTATTATATAACCTAGATTAGCATATAAGTTATACTAGACTAGGAATTAACGTAGATTAATATAGTAACTATAACACTATTTAAGAGGATAATATTACAAGTTACTAAATTTAGGGGTAATAACCTATCTACTATACTATAGTATTCTAAAAGTAGGGTAATCTATCCTTTAGATACCCTATTAACTATACGTCACACGTTAATATATTTTACTAGACTAGGCATAGAACTAATATATATTAGCTTAGGATAAAAAATAGGGCTATTATATACGTTAGTTAACTACCGCGAGATGTAGTAGTCCCTACTAAGGAAAGCCTAGTTATAGAAGAAGAGCCTCTTTATCTTTAATAGTATACTATTAAAGTTAAGATTATCTTTATAGAAGCTTTTGTTTAATTTAGTATTAATAAACTTATAATAGATATATTATATATAAGCATAATATAATAGGACATGTTAAATAAGTATATTATATAATTAAAGAATTACTCCTTTCTATATAGATAAATTTAGTAGTAACTAGATAACCTATATAAGGAGAAATAGATTACCCTCCTATATAGTAACCTGTAGAGAACTACGTATCTATTATAATATAGCAAGTTTGTATCTTAGATAGTATATCTTATAGTATAAAGCCCTTTAATAGTAGATAGTAATAAGCTAACTATACTATTAACAGGCTATCTTACCTAGACTACACTAGTTAGACTAGCTTTCTTTTATATAGAATAGTAGCAATACAGTCTTATAGTAGCCTAGAAACCTTTCTTAGAATATCCTTAGTCTATAAGGCTAACTAAGGTATAAGGAGAAGAAACTAATACTAAGTAAGGATTTAAGTAGAGCAGATTATCTAGGAGTAGCCTAAGCTAGTCCTACCTTTATTAGAAAGAGGTTAAAAGAGTCTCTATAACGCTTAAAAAGGCCACTATAAATAGTGTCTAACGCCCCTAATTTACTAGCCTATACTTATTTATAGTAAGAAACCCCTTTAATTATATCTCTATTATAAAGTCTTAAGAGATAGCTAGGTAAAGAGAACCTCTACTACTAGTAAGTAAATATTACTAAATACTCTAAAGGAAAGAAAGACTATAAGTAATTAAGAATATAAGGTTATCCCCTAATACTATATAGAGATTAAGTTTAGGTAGTCTAGGCCCTACTACGCCTATAATAGTCTAATCTGCACTAAGTAATACTAAAGATAGGTAGATAACCTATAGTTAGTAGACCTAAATAATTAGTCCTATAGTCTAGGACTACTACTAAAGAGAGGCCACTTTACTTTAACTCTAACTAACTCTACCTGCTAGTTATAAGTATAACTAGCGTACTAGTATAATTAACTATTCTTTAATATACCTACCTATATACTTATAATTATAAACTACTACGCCCTTAATAAACTAAAAGACTATATACTACTACTACTAACACTACCTATTAGCCTTATTAAGGATAGGTATAACTCCTTAGCTCCTATAGGGGTATAATACTAGCACTAGTTATACTATTATTTAGAAGCCTAAAGGTTACAATCCTTAGCCTTACTATAATAGTAACTACTAACTACTAGTCCTAATTCTAGCTAAGATTACTAATTTAAAATCTATTAAATAACTAGTTAAGTAAAG